CTGCCTGCTCACCTTAGATTTTTCAATAGCATCTTTTAATCTTCCAAAATAATTTACTTAATTTTTTTTCCGGGGAAACTGACAGCAACAAAATTTCCTTATGTTTCCCCCCTCCTGAGATCCCCTTTTTTGGGATTTCACAAGATATCCTCCCTCCTTGTGTTTTCTTCGGCCCAGACTTTCGAATAATCTAGTAAAAATTCTTTTGATTGTTTATTTTGGGCCTGGGGCTTCAGGGGAACCCGTCTGGGCTGTCCCCTTTTCCTTTTTGAAAAGTTTATAGCTTTCCTAATTTCCCTTTGGGGGTACTCCAGTTGATATCCAGTTTATTTCAAAAGGGGGATAGGGGGGAACCTCTGGGCCTGGTCTTTTTAGAAGCTTTAAAAATTTTAAACCCATGTCCTTTTGATCTTTATTTTACCCGCCCCCAAAAAATGCATTTTTTTTTGATCCAAAGGGCGACTATATTTCCTCAATTTTTTGGGGGACTGAAATTCTCTGCTGCAACACCTGGTACATGCTAACATGTGATGCTGTGTAAATGCTGATATGTGAAGCTGTGTAAATGCTAGAGTGTGATGCTGTGTAAATGCTAATATGTGATGCTGTGTAAATGCTGAAGTGTGATGCTGTGTAAATGCTGAAGTGTGATGCTGTGTAAAGGCTAATATGTGATGCTGAGTAAATGCTGAAGTGTGATGCTGTGTAAATGCTAATATGTGACACTATGTAAATGCTGGAGTGTGATGCTGTGTAAATGCTGATATGTGACACTGTGTAAATGCTGGAGTGTGATGCTGTGTAAATGCTGAAGTGTGATGCTGTATAAATGCTGATATGTGACGCTGTGTAAACGCTGATATGTGATGCTGTGTAAATGCTGAAGTGTGATGCTGTATAAATGCTGATATGTGACGCTGTGTAAATGCTGATGAATGACACTGTGTAAATGCTGATATGTGACGCTGTATAAACGCTGATATGTGACGCTGTGTAAACGCTGATATGTGATGCTGTGTAAATGCTGAAGTGTGATGCTGTATAAATGCTATGTGACGCTGTGTAAATGCTGATGTATGACACTGTGTAAATGCTAATATGGGACGCTGTATAAATGCTGATATGTGGCGCCGTGTAAATGCTGAAGTGTAATGCTGTGTAAATGCTGAAGTGTGACGCTGTATAAATGCTAAAATGTGACGCTGTGTAAATGCTGAAGTGTGATGCAGTATAAATTCTTATATGTGACGCTGTGTAAATGCTGAAGTGTGATGCAGTATAAATACTGATATGTGATGCTGTGTAAATGCTGAAGTGTGATGCAGTATAAATACTGATATGTGATGCAGTATAAATACTGATATGTGATGCAGTATAAATACTGATATGTGACGCTGTGTAAATGCTGAAGTGTGATGCAGAATAAATACTGATATGTGACGCTGTCTAAATGCTGATATGTGATGCTGTGTAAATGCTGAAGTGTGATGCTGTATAAATGCTGTAGTGTGACGCTGTGTAAATGCTGATATGTGATGCTGTGTAAATGCTGATATGTGATGCTGTGTAAATGCTAATATGTGATGCTGTGTAAACACTGGAGTGTGATGCTGTGTAAATGCTGGAGTGTGACGCTGTGTAAATGCTGATATGTGATGCCGTATAAATGCTGGAGTGTGATGCTGTATAAATGCTTGAGTGTGACGCTGTATAAATGCTGGAGTGTGATGCTGTATAAATGCTGGAGTGTGATGCTGTGTAAATGCTGGAGTGTGACGCTGTATAAATGCTGCAGTGTGACGCTGTATAAATGATGGAGAAGATGCTGTATAAATGCTTAAGTGTGACGCTGTATAAATGCTGGAGAAGATGCTGTATAAATGCTTAAGTGTGATGCTGTATAAATGCTGGAGTCTGACGCTGTATAAATGCTGGAGTCTGACGCTGTATAAATGCTGGAGTGTGATGCTGTATAAATGCTAGAGTGTGATGCTGTATAAATGCTTATATTTAATGCTGCTATTGTCACCTACTAAACTGAACTGAACGTTTAACAAGCTGGCTATCATCATCTAGGATGTGGTGGAGTACTCTGGGTGCAAGCATGAAAAATTGCCTTATCCTATCATTGCTGACGAAAAACGTGAACTGGCAGTGCAGCTGGGTATGATTGACCCTAATGAGAGAAGCAAAGATGGCCTACCACTGACTGCAAGATCGGTCTTTATTATAGGACCTGATAAAAGGCTTAAACTGTCCATTCTCTATCCAGCAACTACAGGACGCAATTTCACGTGAGTGTTTTGTGCATAGAGTCTGTTGTCTGTGTTGTATCTCATTCTTTCAGTTAAATGTATGGCCTTAACTATAACTGTGCATACTCCTTGTATACAGTCAGTGTTGTATCTCTATATTTCCATGAAATATTTTATCATTATTATTTACATTCTCCTTGTATACAGTTTGCGTTGTATTTCTGTGTTCCCCTGAAATATGTCATCATTATTATCCACCTACACCTTGTGTACAGTTGTGTCTCTATGGTTTCCCTAAATATATAGTCATTATCTCTCTATACTCCTTGTTATAATCTGATTTGTATCTCTATTTTCCTCTTCAATATATGGTCACAATTATCTGTCTATACTCCTTGTTACAGTCTGACTTGTATCTCTGTGTTCCTCTTCAATATATGGTCATAATTATATCTCTTACCCTTCTTGTTACAGTCTATGTTGTGTCTCTGTCTTCTTCTTCTTTTTCAAAATTCTGCAGCCTTGAGGTTCATTGCTGCAGATATTACCTGCTTCCACTCATCTTTCCAGTTGGCCTTCTCTTTCCAGTTGGTAACATCAAGTGTTTTCAGATCTCTCTCATCATCTCTCCATCATCTTCTTGATCTGCCTCATGGTCTGTGACCATTCAACTCCCTTGTATATAGTTTTTACCTCTGCTATGTCATTTTCTTAAAATGCCCCAGCCATTTCAGTCTCTTAGCTCTCATGATGCCAGTGATCAATGGTGATTTAAACAGTTTATGAATTTCAGTTGTTGCTTCTCACTATTGTTTGCATCCTTGATTGGTCCAGAGATTTATTGTAAGACTGTTTTAGAAAATGTGTAATAAGGATTCATCTCTTTTAGTTGTGCTTAAAGTTTCAGAGCCATATAAAATTATTGGTCTTATCATTGTTTGATATATATTGATCTTGGTGTTGCAAGATAGAGGCTTTGATTTAAGCTGATGTTGAAGGGGATTCATCATCATTGCAGAACGTCGCTCTCATCACAGTTTGCCTGAAAGAAACTCGGTCTCTCGCCAGTTCTCACGCCTCATGCATTTTCACATTCAAGGAGTCACCGATATCCTGTGCCCAACTTCGTGTCGATCGGCCCCTGCCCCTCCTTCCTGGTACCATGCCTTTTGCTATAATTTTTTCCAATCCGTTGAAGGGTATAGTATACTTTTCCAGATTTCCAGATTGTATTCTAGATTGTATTTCTTCACTCAGCATGTTGGAGTACTTGAAGTTTGCACACCCAAGTACTTAGATACTTCCATTTGTTTGATTTTCATAAAATCAAGTTGTGGCTCAAATTTATGTTCTTTCCTTGTCTTGTCATTATCATGTATTCTGCCTCATCTTAATTGATAAGTAGTCTCATTTTGTGCTGCTTCTATTAAGAGAGTCAGTGTTTTTACAGTCTCTAGTTTATTTTCTCCAGTGATATCAATGTCATCTGCATTACCCAGTATTCTTGTAGTTTCTCCTAACGTACACTCTTCTTTCATTTTTCTTATATTTTCTCAAGAGCCAAGTTGAAAAGAAGTGGGAACAGGGCATCACCTTGCTTTAAACCAGATGTTATTTGAAAAGGGTCTGACTTTCTGCCTTTATATGTAACTGTATTCTAAGTGTATTCCATACATAGTTTGATTAAGGTGATTAACTACTTTGGTATTCCAAAGTCCTTCATAGCATTCATAAACTGTTTCTATGTACACTTCTTCTTCTTCTTCTTCTTTTTCTTCTTCTTCTTCGATCCTTCTGTCAGAAAACATATCAGGAGACTGGCAGCCTTTATGAAAGCTATCGTGCAGTCTAAATCTTCTCGTGTACCATACAGTTTTGTCTTCAGTGTGGTTGCACTGGGCCAGACTGCGTCTCTGTTGGCAGCATACAGTTATCAATGTTAGAGCACACGGTCATCACTTTCTGGTGCCACACTACAGGTACATGTCTCTGTGTTTCCTACACTGACAATTTGGAACATATGTTGACAAAGTCCTTAGTGGCCTGTCCTTAGTCTGAATAAAACACATCCTCCCTCTCTAGAAAAGCGATGAAAGGAGTCTTGAGAAGAGAATTTGGTGTGTGTATCCAGAGGCCTTTCTTGAATACTAGACAGTATTTACGTCCTAGTCTTTTGGCAGGTTAAGTCACGATTTTACTGTACCATGTCACTGCCGCTTCTGGCCAGTCTGTCCACTATTTCATTGCCTTCTAAGCCACAGTGACCTGGAATCCACTGCAGTACAGATTGTTCTACTGAAGAGCCCAAGTTAATCAGCTGTTGCGTCAAGTCTACAAACTGAGTATCTTTTGGGTTAAGAATTGCTTGTAGGACTGACATATCATCAGTCAGAAAGACCACTCTGCTATATTTGCTGTGCTGTTGTCCATTCAGGCAAGAACATGCCACCAGAAGTGCATCTGCCTCTGCTCTGTAATTGGAGAAATATAAATGTGGTGTTATACCATTTTTAATTTTCAAACTGTTTGGTTTATATACTCCTAAACATATGGTCATTATTATCTCTCTGCACTCCTTGTTTACAGTCTATGTTGTATCTTTATGTTCCTCTTCAGTATATGGTCATTTTTATCTCTCTATACTCCTTGTATGTGATCTGTTTTATATCTCTTTTTTTCTCCTAAATATATGGTCATTACTGTCTCTCAATACTCCTTGCAGACAGTCATTGTTGATCTGTATTTTTTCCTTGTACACACTCATTGTGATATCTTACATTACTCTTTTGTTTGTCTCACTAAAGCTTACATTACTCTTTTGTTTGTCTCACTAAAGCTTACATTACTCATCACTAAAGCTTACATTACTCTTTTGTTTGTCTCACTAAAGCTTACATTACTCTTTTGTTTGTCTCACTAAAGCTTACATTACTCTTTTGTTTGTCTCACTAAAGCTTACATTACTCTTTTGTTTGTCTCACTTAAGCAAAATCCATAAGTTTGTTGTCCCTTTACGCAACAACGGTAAAAAAAGAGTAACCCAGATGATTTGAAAGAGATAAACGAACGAACAAACTAACAAACACACTTTATTTTAAAAGGGTCATAAATTGGGCATGCAGGCCTGTCTTACCTTCAGCCCTTCCAAACACCCGTCTTTTACACTGCAGCTGTATTTTACCAATAATCATGTTATATTCATTCGATAATATACATATTAAGCATGGGTGGTAGAATGCGTGCACACACTAGTGTACACCTACACACACACACACACACCCACTCATTTAAACGCGCATATATACACACCCACATACCTTCACACACACACACATAAACACAACCCCATTTACCGACATACATAACTTGCTACCCAAATAAACACACACACACACACATTCATACAGATATTCACATGTACACATGTGACACACCCGCAAAAACAAACGCAGACACACACACAAGCAGACATATGTGTACAAGCCCATACACACAAACAGATTCACACATGCAACACACACACAAACTCGCAGACACATACACACACACACACACACACAAAAACACACAGCTACACACACACAGACACGCTGGAAGATACACACACACAATCCCAGACATACACACACACACACTGATGCTCATGCAGACACATACATACATACACAGACACACAGATGAGAGCTGTAAGGCAAGTTATCACAAAAATCATATAGGAACGATTGTAAGATTTTGTAATGTAAAAGAAGGAAACTGAAATATATTGTTATCACTTAAAAGATGTGTAGAAGAAGAGACAGTGGAAGACAATGCAAGAAGATTCCTGACAGCCTTTTGTCATGGCATGGAGGGGTATCAGCACACTAAAGGATACATGCTCATAATGATCTGACAGCCTTTTGTCATGACAGGGAGGGGTGTCAGCACACTAAAGGATACATGCTCATAATGATCTGACAGCCTTGTGGATACATGCTTGTAACAATCTGACAGCCTTTTGTCATGGCATGGAGGGGTATCAGCACACTAAAGGATACATGCTTGTAACGATCTGACATCCTTTTGTCATGACAGGGAGGGGTGTCAGCACACTAAAGGATACATGCTTGTGGATACATGCTTGTAACAATCTGACAGCCTTTTGTCATGGCATGGAGGGGTATCAGCACACTAAAGGATACATGCTTGTAACGATCTGACAGCCTTTTGTCATGACATGGAGGGGTGTCAGCACACTAAAGGAGACATGCTTGTAACGATCTGACAGCCTTTTGTCATGACATGGAGGGGTATCAGCACACTAAAGGATACATGCTTGTGGATACATGCTTGTAACGATCTGACAGCCTTTTGTCATGACATGGAGGGGTATCAGCACACTAAAGGAGACATGCTTGTAACGATCTGACAGCCTTTTGTCATGACATGGAGGGGTGTCAGCACACTAAAGGAGACATGCTTGTAACGATCTGACAGCCTTTTGTCATGACATGGAGGGGTGTCAGCACACTAAAGAATACATGCTTGTGGATACATGCTTGTAACAATCTGACAGCCTTTTGTCATGACAGGGAGGGGTGTCAGCACACTAAAGGAGACATGCTTGTAACGATCTGACAGCCTTTTGTCATGACATGGAGGGGTGTCAGCACACTAAAGGAGACATGCTTGTAATGATCTGACAGCCTTTTGTCATGACATGGAGGGGTATCAGCACACTAAAGGATACATGCTTGTGGATACATGCTTGTAACAATCTGACAGCCTTTTGTCATGACAGGGAGGGGTGTCAGCACACTAAAGGATACATGCTTGTAACAATCTGACAGCCTTTTGTCATGACAGGGAGGGGTGTCAGCACACTAAAGGATACATGCTCATAACGATCTAAGCCAAATGGCTTGATAGTGCGTTCCACTTCATAAAGTCAAAGTGTGGTTGAAAATATGAGTGCCACATCATACTATTAGTGTGGTTGTAAATATGTGTCTCACTTTCTACAGTTAGTAAATATGTTTTTAACATAGTATATTTGTAAATATGTGTCCCACTTTATAGAACTCCCACTTTGTACAGTTAATATATTTGGTCCCACTTTCTTCTATATTTGTAAATATGTGTCCCACTTTTAATACAGTATGTAAATATGTGTACAGTAAGTATATTTGTAAATATGTGTCCCACTTTCTACAGTTAGTATGTTTGTAAATATGTGTCCTACCATGTGTAGTTAGTGTGGCTGTAAAAATATTTCCTACTTTATACATTAGTGTGTATTTGTAAATATGTTCCTTACTTTCTACAGTTAGTATATTTGTAAATATGTTCCTTACTTTCTACAGTTGTTTGTAAATATGTGTCCCACTTTATATGGCTGTAAACTAGTCCCACTTTGTAAATAGATGTCCCACTTTCCCCACTTTCTACAGTTAGTATGTTTGTAAATATGTGTCCCACTTTATAGTTAGTATGTTTGTAATATGTGTCCTGCCTTGTGTAAATAGTTAGTTTGGCTGTAAATATGTTCCCACTTTCTACATTTAGTTTATTTGTAAATATGTGTCCTACCTTGTATAGTTAGTATGTTTGTAAATATGTGTCCCACTTTCTACAGTTAATATATTTGTAAATATGTGTCCTACCTTGTATAGTTAGTATGGCTGTAAATATGTTCCTTACTTTCTACAGTTAGTTTATTTGTAAATATGTGTCCTACCTTGTACAGTTAGTATGGCTGTAAATATGTGTCCCACTTTCTACAGTTAGTATATTTGTAAATATGTGTCCCACTTTCTACAGTTAATATATTTGTAAATATGTGTCCTACCTTATGTAGTTAGTGTGGCTGTAAATATGTGTCCCACTTTCTACAGTAAGTATATTTATAAATATGTGTTCCACTTTCTACAGTAAGTATATTTGTAAATATGTGTCCCACTTTCTACAGTAAGTATATTTGTAAATATGTGTCCCACTTTCTACAGTAAGTATATTTGTAAATATGTGTCCCACTTTCTACAGTAAGTATATTTGTAAATGTGTCCCACTTTCTACAGTAAGTATATTTGTAAATATGTGTCCCACTTTCTACAGTAAGTATATTTGTAAATATGTGTCCCACTTTCTACAGTAAGTATATTTGTATATGTGTGTCCTACTTTCTCCAGTAAGTATACAATAAGTCGATTATTGGACAGAGCCCTTTGTCAGTCCTCGCTAAATCACTCTCACCAGACTATGATGATCAATTTGCTGTTCCAAATTGTACACATGCCCCCATCAGGATTTAACCACGTCTGCCTCATCATGCATCAGTATTCAACCGAGTTGTTCTGTTCATTTCTTAACACACTGGCATTTCACTGAGCACTGAAAAAGATCCAGACAGTACTCTTCACCCCTGACCTCCGATGCAAAGCATGCCTCTCTGCACCAAGCATGCCTGTCCTCACCTTCCTCTGCATGCTTTCTGAGTCAGTTTAATCACGTGTGGGTGGGCGGGGTGTCTGTGTGTGTGTGGGTGTGTGTCGTGTTCTCTAACCAGCAGAAAGCTGCAACAACCTTCACTACCTCCATTCTTGAGCTGGATGTTGTGGCAACATATGCTAGGCTGTCCTGCAATAAACGTCGGCCATTTGCGTTTACTAAGAACCCCTAGACACTTCTTTTGCCTCTTGACACTAAACCATCTGTATAAATAATAACATCATACAAACGAGCATTATCTTGATTTAATTGCTAAATTTCCACCTACATGGCTCAGTGAGATTATGACTACACATTCTGACTGTTCCGCTGACACACTGACTGACCCTCTTATGTTCTCCATGATGCAAACCTGTCTGATCATGTCCTCCTCCTGAGCCATCCATGACTTTCCTTTTATCTGTCACTGACCCTTAATTCCAGCACTTCATAGCTGTGTCGCAGATACTCTGAGGTATGACTTCACCTGCAGCACCTTGAGCCTACTTGAAACTGTCTGCAAACCAAAGATATATGGCATACACACTACTGAGGTGTCTCTGATACATCTGCTGACATAGTGTGAAAAGTATTCTATGCTTTATGCCCATTGCAACCGCAGTCGTGCAAGGAGTACCTTTTGGCATCTTGTCAACTCCATGTGTTCCTTGAAGGACAGACTCCTGTAAAATGTGATTCTCATATACTTCAGTTTGCCCTTTCTGTTGACATTTCTACAATCTTTTGTGATACTAGGGACATCAACTGTAATAATCCTGTTGTCTAGAGAACACCACAAAACAGACGCCTTTTCTGAATGAATGACTGCAGTCATTTCTGTACACAGTCAATCACTTTGTCTACTATTGCCTGTAGCTCCTGGGTGATTTGTTCCCTACCTGTTCTCTGCCTACATGTGAGAATATCATCTGCAGTCAGTATCCTTTCGCTGGTGATAGATGCAATAACGTTTGTTTAGCCCCACTAACAAGATCCAGCACATTTTGAAATTGTTTACATTGTCTAATAACATTCATGCTTTCACTAGGTTGTTATCATACAAATGTAGGGTTAGGACTTGCCATTCCTGTTTGTGTTCCACTTCATACACACTCTGTGAAATATTATATTGACATATTTGTTTTGTCAAACCATCTTTCACCATTTTGAAGTCCAAGGTTTTTCTTTAAGTGATTGTATACCATTTTATATTTTATCTGTCAAAGATAATTTATACATGGTGAATGTTTACAGTGAAATACTACGGGCCATTGATTCACTGCAGCTGACTGCTACAAAAAAAGTAGCCACTCCGGTGGACTGGCAGCAAGGAGACAAGTGTATGGTCCTGCCCACACTGTCTCAAGAGGAAGCTATTCAGTTGTTCCCCAACATGGAGACTCTTCCCTTACCGTCTGGCAAAGGCTACTTGCGTCTGACCCCTCAGCCGTGACCTGCCTGCCTGAGAATTTAAAAAAACCACTTGTAATTTGTTCCTTCAAATTAAAGTTAATTCTTTAAAACTTGTGTTCATTATTATGTGGAGCACATTAAACAAGCCTGTTGACTGATATACTTGTGTTAGCTGATATTCCTATGTTTTTGTCTGATATACTTGTGTTAGCTGATATTCCTATGTTTTTGTCTGATATACTTGTGTTGTTGTCTCATACACTTGTGTTGTCGTCTGATATACTTGTGTTAGCTGATATTCCTATGTTTTTGTCTGATATACTTGTGTTGTTGTCTCATACACTTGTGTTGTCGTCTGATATACTTGTGTTGTTGTCTGGTATACATGTCTTGTTGTTTGATCTTGTGTTGTTGTCTGGTATACATGTCTTGTTGTTTGATATACCTGTGTTGTTGTCTGATATACTTGTTGTTTGAAATACTTATGTTATTGTCTGAGATACATGTAATGTGTGATATACATGTGTTGCCATGTGATATACTTGTGTTGTTGTGTGATATAAAGGTGATGTTGTGGGATAAACATGTGCTTTTTTGTTAGGCTTAGGGTTATGGTTATATTTATTTAGATCAGGGACCCTCGAATAGTGACAAATTCAAATTTTTAAAAAATTTTTGTTTAAAATAAAAGAGCTTTCAAAGGTCATGGTCATCTCCAAGGTCAAGTTCAAGATCATATTTAGAAAGTTTGTCCAACTCATGAGAAAGGTCAAGCGTGACCTTGGTTAAAACGAGTCCTTGGCCTTCCAAAAAAATGGCAAAAGGTCCAAGTTATGTCAATTATAGCCGGACTTGGTGATATATATTTATATAGGTGTTCTGAGTAGTGGCAAATTCGAGTTTTTCAACAGTTAAATGGGTTTTGAAGGTCAAGGTCATGTTTATAAAGCCGTTCCATTCGCTATCAGAAAGGGGTTAGTCCCATGATAGTCTCCCCATGGACCTCCCTTATACACACTAGCTCACTTCTGATTGGTCGACCTTCAGTCACCCGACTTTCGCACAACGCCACCGGGGTGTCCGGCAATGCTGTTGATATCGCGTGTTGTAAATTTAAGCACGCCAGAGCTTTAACACTACAAAAACATCTAGAAACCGGGTCTAACACACAACCCCCAGAGGGTGCTGCAACCTATGTCCCAAGCATTCTCTTTCTCGGAAGAAGAACGTATATGTGAGACAAGCTAAAAAGGAAACAACAGCGGCAACCTGTAGCCACCCTTCCCCCTCCCCCCGGATAGCAGACCAGTCTAAACAAAATGTATGAATGGAACGTGGCTTAGTTTGTGTGGGGAGATTATGGTGGAACTGACCCAGAAAGGTTTAGCATGACCTTGGTTAAAATGACATGACCTTGTAAAAAAATGATGAAAGGTCTAAGTCGAGTCAATTATAGCGGGACTTAGGGTTAGGGTAAATGTTAAGGTTATATTTATATAGGTAAGGGTTATATAGTTGGGCTTAAGGGCTAAGATTAGAGTTATATAGATCAGGGACCCTCAGATAGCGGCAAATTTGAGTTTTTCAACAGTAAAACAGGCTTTTAAAGATAAAATTATCTTCAATGTCATTTTAAAAAGGTCGTTCAATTTGTTATAGGAAAGGTTAAGCGTGACCTTGGATAACATGTGATCTTCACCTTAAGAAAATGATCATGTCAGCTATATTCAAAAAACATTTCGAAAGGCGTTTCTAATAAAAGGTAAAAGTTAAGGTAAATTTCAAGATATTTTCTGAAAAGGTACAGCCTGACATCATATGGGACGAATGATTGACCTGGTAAAAATCGAAAATTGATTAGGAGGTCAAGCCCAATGTGAGAGATTGCTATGGTAACGGCAGGGTTCAAACAAGATTTTCAAAATCGGGCACTTTTGGCGGAATTTTGAAGGGGAAAAAATGGTCAAAGTCATATCTACAGTTAGGGTTACGTTCTGGGTTAGGGTTAGGGTTTTATTGCTTAAGGTTAGTGGTCAAGTTCAGGATTATATTTATGTGGTCAGGGACTCTCGATTAGTAGCAAATTCGAGTTTTTCTAACAGTAAAAAAAGTTTGAAGGGTTAGGATTAGGCTTATATGTTTATATGTTAGGGTTAGAGGTTAGGGTTAAGGATAGGGTTGGGTTAGGGTCAGTCAGGCTTTTTTTCTTTTAATCTGGGTCGGGCGTGGCAAGGCCCCGTCGGCGACGTTGTCGGTCGGTTTGTCACCGCCGATCTTTTTCCAGTCGGTCTATGGGTCAAAAGGGGGTTTTTCAGGTGTCAAAGGGGGTTTTCTATGTCGAGGTCAAGGTCATCAAAAGAAAGGTAATAATATTGTCTACAATAAAGGTTAAGTGTGACCTTCGATGGGAACGTCCTTGACCTTCAAAAAAATAAAAACTGTTCAAGGTCAGGTCGAGAAAATCGGGGCCGCGAGGAAAAATCGGCGGAAATTTGCAAAGTGTCAAACTTTGAGGTGGAATATCTCGAAAAGTCATTAAGCAAAGGTCAAACTTAAGGTCATGGGAAGATAGGTCGTGACCCGGGCTACAAAAAAGGTCCTGGGTGACATTGCGTAGGTCGAAGGGTTGACCTTCAAAAATTCAAATATACATATATACTTATAGGTCAAGGTCAGTCGACTTTATGCATCAGAGAAGGGCGCAAATCCGTCCAAAAATCAGGCACTTTTAGCAGATCTCGGAGCAAAATTTTCAGAAAAATAGGTTGAACAGGTTTTGTCAGAAAATTCAAAAAGTGATGAGGTCGAAAGTAGGTCGCGGCCTTGGGACTTTTTTTTTTTTTCAGGGCTTCACCCAGGGATCGAGGGGCTTCAGCCGGTCCGGGCAGGGAACTCAGTGGGGGTCGGTACTTGTAGAGCGGTGATGTGGGAGTCGGGGGATATGTTGACCTTGGAGACAGGACCATTAGAAAGGGGTCAAATCGGGGGTCAAAGTCAGGTCAGTTGCAGACGTGATTTTGGGAGATGAGTGATTCCGAGGCGGGGTCTGATGGGTGGGTCGGGTGGGGCCTGGGACGAGGGAAAGAAAAGGTCATGACGACCCCCGAGATTGGAGTCACGGTAGACGTGGCGTTGGCGGGAAACTGTATTTTTGGCGGGAGGCTACCCCTGGGTCCCAGTGTGGGTCGGGGTCGGAGAAGAGGGTTTCAGTAGATAGTCCCGGTCCTGGGCTTTCCAGAAATGTAAATTTTGTAGAGACAAGTGTGATAGTGGCCGAGATATGGCGCCCGGAAGTTTGGAAAAAGTGTACGCAGCCAGAAAAAGTATACGCAGCCGAGAAAAAGTGTACGCAGCACCTTGCTCCAATTTTCAAAGTCCGAAACACGTGTTTCCAAGTCATTTTGGCGGGATTCGTATCTCGAGTCAGGTTATGGGTCGATTCAAATTCGGCGAGTATTGTCACGTTGCCCGGGACCTGGGCTGTCAGTAGACACCTTGACATTGATTGGCACTCATATGGATGACCTTGACCTCTAAGTCAAACTGTTTTCCAATATATATAGGGTTAGGGTTAGGGTTAGGGTTAGGGTCAATCAGGCTTTTTTTCTTTTAATCTGGTCCGGCGAGTGGCAAGGCCCCGTCGGCGACGTTGTCGGTCGGGGTCAGGGGTCAAAAAGGGGTTTTTTAGGTGTAAAAGGGGTTTTTCGGTGTCAAGGTCATGTTCAAGGTCGAGGTCAAGGTCATGAAAAGAAAGGCAATAATATTGTCTACAATAAAGGTCCAGCGTGACCTTCGATGGGAAGCGTCCTTGACCTTCAAAAAAAATAAAAACTGTTCAAGGTCGGGTGGAGAAAATCGGGGCCGCGAGGAAAAATCGGCGGAAATTTGCAAAGTTCAAAACTTTGAGGTGGAATATCTCGAAAAGTCCTTAAGCAAAGGTCAAAGTTAAGGTCATGGGAAGATAGGTCGTGACCTGGGCTACAAAAAAAGGTCCCGGGTGACATTGCGTAGGTCGAAGGGTTGACCTTGGAAAATTCAAATATCCATATATACTTATAGGTCAAGGTCAGTCGACTTATCAGAGAATAGCGCAAGTCCGTCGAAATATCGGGCACTTTTAGCAGATCTCGGAGCAAAATTTTCGAAAAAGTAGGTTGAACAGGTTTGGAGAGAAAAATCAAAAAGTGATGAGGTTGAAAGTAGGTCGCGGCCTTGGGTTAGGGTTAGGGTTAGGGTTAGGGTTAGGGTTAGGGTCAATCAGGCTTTTTTTCTCTTTAGGAGGCTGTGGGAGTTTTTCTGGTTCGGTTCCGGTCTAGTGGCAAGGTTTTGGTTTGTTATAGGGTTAGGGATCGTATAAGGGTCAGGTTAGTCAACTCAAAACCCGTCTTTTCTTGGTCCGGCGAGTGGCAAGGCCCCGTCGGCGACGTTGTCGGTCGGTTTGTCACCGCCGGTCTTTGTCCGGTCGGGGTCAGGGGTCAAAAAGGGGTCTTTTAGGTGTAAAAGGGGGTTATCTAGGTCAAGGTTATCGTCAAGGTCAAGGTATTTAAAAGAAAGGTAATAAGATTGTCTACAAGAAAGGTCCAGCGTGACCTTGGATGGGAAGTGACCTTGACCTTTAAATTGCCAAAAAAGGTGTTTATAGCAGAAATTTTCAGAGTCGGCAACTGCGAGTGGAATTATCTCAAAAATTTTTTTAGCAAAGGTCAGAAGTTAGGGTCACGGAGAGAAAGCCTGCGACCTCTGCTATAAAAAAGGTCAGACGTGACCTTGCGTAGGTCGTAGGGTTGACCTTGGAAAATTCAAAAATGTCTATGAATTTCCAGGTCAAGGTCAGTCGTTTGCACAGAAAGGAGAAGAGCGAAAGTCCGTCGGAAAATGAGGTTAGGGTTAGGGTTAGGGTTAGGGTTAGGGTTAGGGTCAATCAGGCTTTTTTTCTTTTAATCTGGTCCGGCGAGTGGCAAGGCCCCGTCGGCGACGTTGTCGGTCGGTTTGTCACCGCCGGTCTTTGTCCGGTCGGGGTCAGGGGTCAAAAAGGGGTTT